TCTCACCGAGACGGCTGCTGCGGTCCACCCGCAGCAGCGCTCTCGCCGCGGTGGCCGTGGTCGCCAAGGAGGTAGGGGTGGTGGCGCAGGTGGTGGTGGTGGTGGTGGTGACGGTAGTCCGCCTGCGGGGACTACCACTGGTGGGCAGGAGCAGCAGCCCCAGCCGCAGCCGCCGCCCCAGCAGCAGCCGCCGTTCCAGCAGCAGTCGCCGCAGCAGTGGGCCCGTCTCCCGCCTGGCTGGCCCGGCACCTCCGGAGGTAGTGGCCGTGGAGGCGGCCCGCGCAGCTTGGCGTCTACCGGCGGCTCCGGTGCTGTCACCTGCCAGTACCAGCTTCAGACCGGGCCTCTTCGCGGCACTCTGTGCCGCCGCCCGCACCCGATCGCCCGCTGTTTCCGCCGCCTCGACGATCTCTTTCATCGTCGCTTTGGCCCGGCCCCGGACCTCCCCGACTGGCACAGCCTGCTCCGCTAGGGCGTGCCAATCTTTGAGTTAGACATGGATCAGATAGGTGCTGCTTTGCATGCTTTGTATTTTGACGCTTCTAGTGTTGCTGGATCTTATTACCCTGTGTACACTAGTTTAGGTGTTGCACCATTGTGTAGCTTAGCCTCCCCTGCTGCATCAGGCGTAGGACTGCATAGCTTGCCTAGTCTAGTCGCTGTACCGGCTCCGTCCCCGGCCTCCGCCACTGCTTCGCTGTCCTTCACTCTCGACTCCGGTGCTTCTGCCTGCTTCTGCCTGCTTCTTCACGCCGCTTGCTGCGCCTGCTGTTGTCTCTCGCGCTGACCCCTCTGCAGGTCCTGTCATCGCTCGCAGTTCTACATCCCTTCCCTGTCCAGCAGTTCCCTCGGGCTCCCTTACAAGCCTCCACGTTCCCTCATTCTCGAGGAACCTGGTTGGTGTCGGCTATCTCCAGGACCTCGTTGTCACCACCACGTTCCCTAGGCACGAGCGGTTCGCTGTCTGTTCTGAGGCTGTCTCAGGTTCCCCCCTTGCGACGTTGCCCCGGGACCCAGTGTCCGGTCTGTTTACCCTAGACACCGCTTCCCCCCCGGTTGGTGCGTCCTCCCAGGTCGCTGCAGCTTGCTCGTGTCGGTCCCTCACTCACCCCTCCCTTCTCTGGCACCACCGCTTAGGTCACCCTGCTCTCCCGCGTCTACATCACATGTCCCAGCACGGTCTTGTCTTAGGTCTCCCCGCGTCGCTCCCTGCCCTTCCTCCCTCGACTGCGCCACCGTGCACGCCTTGCGTCGAGGGTTGGCTCCGCTGTGCTCCTCACTCCTCCTCGCTGCGCCCTGCTACTACCCCCCTTCAGACCCTGCACCTGGACGTTTGGGGCCCTGCCCCCGTCCCCGGACCGCGCGGTGAGCGCTACTTCCTTGTGCTCGTCGACGACTACACGCGCTACACCACGGTGTTTCCCCTGGAGCGGAAGGCCGACGTGCCCGACGTTCTTCTCCCGTGGGTTGTGACTGCGCGTCTTCACCGCGGTCTCCCCGTGTTGTGTCTCCACTCTGACCGTGGCGGCGAGTTCGCCTCTAGTCGGCTTGGACAGTTCTGTCGTGCGGAGGGCATCACCCAGTCGTACACCTTGCCGGACTCCCCACACCAGAATGGGGTTGCTGAGCACCGCATCGGCTTGGTCATGGAGGTCGCCCTTACCTCCATGATTCATGCCGATGCCCCCCATTTTCTGTGGCCGTTCGCTGTTCGCTACGCTACTCACCAGCTTAACTTGTGGCCACGCTCCCAGCGGCCGCAGGTTTCGCCGACCCTCCTTTGGACCGGGTCCCCTGGTGACGCGTCTGCGTTCCACGTCTGGGGCTGCCTTGCTCACGTTCGTGCCTCTGGCACGGACAAGCTCACTGCCCGCACTGTCCCCTGTGTCTTCCTCGGTTTTCCCCGGACTCGTCTGACTGGCTTTTCTACCACCCGCCGTCTTACCGCTTCCTCCACTCTCGTGACGTCACCTTTGACGAGTCTGTCTCCTTCTACCGCCGCTTCACTCACCGCGGTCTCCCGGTTGCCCCGCCCCTATTCCTGGCTCCCTCTCCCCCGGTAGCCCCTGCTCCTCTCCCGCCTCATCTTGCCCCGTCTGGTGTCTCTCACGTTACTCCCCTCCCGTCGGTTGTCCCCGTTGAGGAGTCTGCTGACTCTGGTGGTCCCCCCGGCCCGTCCCTGCCGCGTCCCCCTTCCCCGGTGTCTCCGCCTTCCCTGCCGCAGTCGCCGCCGCCGCCGCCGCCGTCACAGTCGCAGTCACCGCCACCGCCGCAGCCGCCGTCGTCGCCGCCGCCGCTGCCGCCGTTGGCCTCTGGGGGTGCTGGCGTTGAGGAGGGTGTTCGTCCTGCGGCTCCTGGGGGTGCCGCTGGAGTTGGAGGGGGTTCTTGCTCTGGGGGTGTTGGTTCTGGGGGTGCTGGTGTTGAGGGTTCCGCCGACGGTCGTCCTGCCTCTGCCGGTCCGAGGGTTCCGGCCCAGCTGTCGCAGCAGCCGCAGCAGCCATCGCCGCCGGTCTCCGCTCTCCGCCTGCTCGGCCTTCCCTCCCCGGACCGCGCGCCGGTGTCTCCCCCACCGCCTGCTGACCTTCCTGTCTACGGTTCCGTGTTCCCGCCGCCGGACTCGTCTCCGGCCCGTCTTCCTCCTCGTTCCCCTCCTGTGTCCCCTCCACTGTCCCGTGACCCTACACCTCCGTCTCACGTTTGGGCTCGCCGTCCCTCTCGTGCTCGTCTCGTCTCTCCTGTCCTGCCCACCCACCCTATGTTGCTCCGTTCCCCCTCGTCTCGTCCTCCCCTCCTCCCGTCCCCTCCTCCCTCGTCCCTTGCTCTGGACCTCCTCCGTTCTCTGACTACCTCCATGCTGCTCGTCCCCTTGTCCCTCGGGTCCTTGCCTCTCTTGTTACCGACCCTGCTGTTCCTGTCTCGCGCCTTGACGCGCTTGTCGCTGCTGTCGCTGACTTCGCCTCTACCCGCCGCCTTGACTACGCTACCGCTCTGGTCTCTGACCCTGCCCGTCCTCCGTCCGTCGGGGGTGCTCCTGCCCTTGGCAGTGACGTCCTAGAGGACAGGCAGTACGAGCTTGCTTTCCTTTCCGAGGCTGCTCCCCATCTCTGCTCCATGCTGTTAGTCCCTGAGGGTGACCCGGACGCCTTGTCTACATTCTACATCCGTTCTACATCCTTGTCTACGTAGATGATCAGGTCTTCGCTACTGCTGACAGGGACGCACTGGCCTCTGTAAAGGCCGAGCTTCTGAAGAGACACACCTGCACTGACCTTGGAGAGCTGCGTCGCTATCTTGGCCTGCAGATCTCTAGGGACAGAGCAGCACGCACCATCACTCTGACCCAGTCACACTTGGTGCGTCAGGTCCTTCAGAGGTTCGATCTTCAGTTCTCCTCCGCACAGCCCACACCTCTACCTGTAGACCATGGGCTCTCCGCTCCCGTTCCTGAGGGGCCAGTAGAGCCCAGTGGCCCCTACCCAGAGCTGGTGGGTTGCCTCATGTACCTGATGACTTGCACTCGCCCAGATCTTGCATACCCTCTCAGCATCTTGGCTCGCTTTGTGGCTACAGGCAGACACCGACCTCAGCACGGGTCTGCCGCTAAGAGGGTTTTGCGTTATCTTGCAAGTACATCGGGCATGGGGTTAATGCTAGGAGGACTTAGGCCAGTGGTCCTTACTGGGCACACAGACGCTTCTTGGGCAGACGACTCTGAGACGCTCAGGTCGTCGCAGGGCTACTGTTTTAGCCTTGGTTCGGGTGCTATCTCTTGGAGATCCACTCGCTCGTCGTCTGTGGCTCAGTCTAGCTGTGAGGCTGAGATCTACGCTGGTGCCATGGCGGCACAGGAGCTCCGCTGGCTGACCTTCTTGCTCACAGACTTAGGTGAGCGGCCTAGCTCTGCCCCGGTCCTGTACGCTGACAACAGGGCCATAATACTCCTGTGTCAGGAGCCTCGGCTTGAGGGCAGAGCGAAGCATATCCAGCTGCGGTACTTCCTCCTGCGCGAGCTACAGCAGCGCCGCCAGGCCCGCGTAGTTCACTTGGCCTTAGGTGCCAACACAGCTGATATCTTTACTAAGGCGCTTGCGCCTAAAGATCATCAGCGGCACTGTGTACAGCTTGGTCTTGTTCCTGTAGCTACTCACCTGTTAGGATCCTGATTGTGTACTCTCTATTATATATGCCTGTCAGCCTGGCCTTGTGGCCTTACCTCCAGTGGCTGGACTAGTAGTGCCGCTTTGGCTTGCTTTAGTTTTGTTTGTATTCTTGCTGACTGGTCTCCAGACCCCCGCCTTAGTGGTTGGACTAGTTGTGCCACCCTGAGCTGTTTGCTTCTTGCTTAGCTTCACCCCTTGTCTAGCCTGGGGGGTGTGTCAACTTATACATATTAGCTATGTAGAAGTTATAGGCTAGACTGAGGTATGCTTCTAGTGAGTACAACCAACTAGTATTTGTTCTAGGTTTCCACTTCTAGTCAATCATTCAGTTCTTACTTTAACAATCTAACCTACTATGATACCATATCAGAATGAAAATGATTGAACTAGAATGTGTGTGTACAAGGATATATAGACTAGGGTGCTGTACCCTCTAAGGCACAATCCAGTATATTCTACAGTAACAACCTAAGTTACATTTGACATCGAACACACCCGAAGCCTCGGGACAGTTCCAGACCTTTCTGACATAACCGCCTCGGCTTCTCCAGACCTTCTAGTTCGACCTTGCGGGGTTCTCCGGGCCTGGCTTCGTCACTTCGAGACCCTTCGATCTTTTTCCCGAACCTTCACATCTCATGGTTAGACTAGCTCTGGTGTTCCTATATCTTGGCTTGCCATTCCTTATTGTCATTCAGTGATTCAACACTTCGTTATTCATTTCCGCGCTACTCTGCTTGTTCATTCATAACAAGAAACGAACTGTACTGCAGGGGAGCGGGCATTGATTCCCGAGAATGTCCTTTCCAGTGCGCCACACGCCATGTTCTAAAAAATTCCTTTGTGTGGTCTCTGGTTCTTGGACGACTGTTGACGTTAGGCTATCAGTTCAAAATGGAGGGAGATCCAGCGCCCGCTTCCTCAGGTCCCGCTGCTTCCTCCGCTCCAATTTACGCCTTCATTCAGCGCGCCAATCGGCTGCTGACACGTGTCGAGAGCCGGCCTGCTAGCAAGCTGAGCGCAGAGTGCCGCCGTCGCATCGTTAAGCTCATCACCCGCGAGCGACGATTTCTGTCCTCATTATTGGCTCACCCATTTCCCGCTACAGGCCCGCTGGAGCAGCCAGCGGCGCAGAAGGCGCGGCGAGGCTCAAGATGGGTGTCGAATCGGCTTCAAAGGCAGGTGATTATAGCGAGCGTAAAGCGACGACAGATGCACGCCCTATGCATGCTTTGCTAATTCCAGCTCGGCCTACTCTGATCGAACACGCCCTAAGACAATTTCCTTCCCCCATCCCAACACCCTTTGCCCATGATCGTTTTCCCCTCTCTCTCTGCCAACAGTTCCAACCTCCCCCACATGGAGACGATCGTTGCCGCCCTATGCCACCCGCTGGTGTCGCAGGCGTCTGCAGCCATGACGCACTTCCCCACTGCAGCAGCCCCGGCCAGTCGGAAGCTGACACATCAGCATCAGCACCCTAATCCAACAACCATTTCTGATTCGGCAATCAAATCCGATCCGACGGTTCACATCGATCCAACAGTGCATGTTGATCTGGTGTGTCTGTTCAACGGCCTGCCAACCTGGCTGCTGGCAACAGCTCGCAACCCCAACCGGATTGGTTATCAAGACACCGTGTCAGCGCCAGTTTCAGCCACATGGGAAAGAAACCAGGGTGAGACTCGTAGATGGCTTTTTATAGGTGTTTCTTGCCTGATCAGGTGTGACAACAGCTCGCAATCCCAACCGGACCGAATAGCTCATCACGACATGCTGCCAGCTCCAGTTTCAACTGCACGGGGTACAAAACATGGTGAGGCAGTAGATCGCCTTGATCAGGTGAGGTGTGGCAACAGGTGTGGCAACAGGTGTGGCAACAGGTGTGGCAACAGGTGTGGCAACAGGTGTGGCAACAGGTGTGGCAGTGGCAACAGGTGTGGCAACAGGTGTGGCAACAGGTGTGGCAGTGGCAACAGGTGTGGCAACGGCTCGCAACCCCCAGCCAGATAGCTCATCACTGCACTTACGGTGCTTGCGCCAGCCTCAGCTGCATCAAACGGACCTCACAGTGGGCTGTGCAGCCAAGTCCGGAAGTTTTCTCTCCCTTCACTCAAAGGGCTCCCTTTCGTTTTTCCTCTCTCTTGTTTCTCCCCGTTTCCTCCCCCCCCACACTCCCTTCTTTCTCCCCTTTTCTCTCCCCCCTACACCCCCTTCTCTATCCCTTCCAGTCCCCTTCTCTCTCTCCGCTCACGGATCTTTCAGACGTTTCAGAACTCCCTTCTCCCCCCCTCCCCCTTCTCCCCCCTCCCCCCAGTGCTTTCATCTCTCCTCTCATCCGGTCCCAGCGTTTGTTGGCGGGAAGAACCTGCATGAAAAGCCCCCCTATCCATCTCTTTCCCAACCCTGCTCGCCCACTCCCCCTTTTGACCCCCCCAGTCCCTCCCTCCCTCCGCTCATCCCAACCACAGTATTCGTCGGTGCATCCTCTCTCTGAAGGAGTTTATCTGAGTAACAAGCCCCCCTATCTCTCTCTCAAGCGGTCCGTTTATTGCTTGGAAAACTGGGTACAGGCTAGGCAGGCAAGGGGCAGCAAGGCAAGGTACGTGCATGTTTGGGGGCTCGAAACTACTCGAGCTCCCCTAGGGGCTCTGTTATGGCAAAGCAGTCCCCGGGTGCCATGTCGGCGTCAGGGGTGCCCACTGGGGTGTGGGGGGCAGGGGAGGCTTCATTAACTTTCCCCAGGTAAGCCAGGGCCTGTGCCCGCTGCAGCGTCACTGACCAGCGTTGGCGAAACTGGTGGAGCAATTTCGCGGCCTGGTAGGAGCTGGGGTCCGCATTGAAAAGTCTCCTGGCCCCTGTGTCAGCCAGCAGCTTCAAGAAGGTAGGGACCTCGGCGCATGGGCAGCCGTATGTCTCGACTGCAAGTGGGAAAAATCCGACATACGGAGCCCGATTTCGGTAATGGGAGATTTTCTTGTCAGCTTGCTCCCGGGCCATGTATCCGCGTCCTTTTCTTGCGTCCGGGTCCCGGCTGCTGATGGGATCTGTGACAGTGACGTCACAGATCCAGACGGCTCCGGAACTGCGGTCTCGGAGGGCGAGGTCGGCCTTGTGGCCGTCTACGGGGCTGTAGATGGTGGTCTCCTTGGTGACTATAAAGTCAGCATCCCGGGCCATCCGTATGCTCTCGTCCCGCAGGGCATTATGGGTGTCAGTCCGACCGTGCCCGGTGCCACACCGGAGCAGGTGGTTGGGCAGCCTAGTGTCGAGGATTTCAAATTCCTCGGCGCAGTTGCAAGTGCGGGGGGCTGGGAATGGAAGGCCGAGGCGGAAGGCCAGGGCAATGGCGAAGTGTGGAGCTTCGAGGCGGAGTGATGGGAAGATGGGGATGGCATGAAGCCAGTCCCCTGCTCCATATCCAGCCAGGGAAAAGAGGCGTTGGGTGTGCCCAGAGAGTGGGTTTGGGTCCATTGTCCGCGTGGCTGCCACCTGGCCGGCGTATCGCACGGCCTGGACTTCGAGGGATAAGCGGTGTTGGAGTGGGGAGCCGGAGGGTTCCCTCCTCTCGGAGTGCAGGAGCTCCCGGGCACGTGGGGGCATCGCCGTTTCACACTTCGCCAGCCAGGTATGCAAGTGGGTGGGGCTGGTGAAAGGTGGCGTGAGGTGCCGGACAGCGTCAGCCAGGGGCCCTCCTGACGCTGCTGGGAGGGCAGCCAAGAGGCCCTGGGCTTGGGTGAGGCTGGTGAGGTAGGCTGGGTGTCCCTCAATTGCGGGGTCGGTTAGACCCAGTCCTCCAAGGGAGGGAGGGAGGGACGCTTGAGCCCAAGTGCGCGCCTGCTCCACCTCCCCTCGAGGCGGTTGGAGGTTGCAGGCACGCAGGAGGGTATGGAAGAGCTCCCTACCCCAGTCGGACCAGACGTCCAAGGGTAGGAAGTCAAGGGGGGTGGTGCGGGTTAAGTATGAGACACGCCGGGACACGCAGCGTGTGAGGAGGAGGGATGAGGACTGAGGGTCCATTGTGGCCAGTGTGGCGAGGGGTTCGGCTAGCAGGGCTAGCTGGGTGCGGAGGAATGCGGCTGTGCCCTCGGCTGTGCCTATAAAGCTGCCAAGCACGCGGACGCCTTCAGTGTTGAAAGGTATGTCTGGGGGAAGGCGGTCGGGTGCAGGGCGCTCAGCTGACCATGCTGCGCATTTCGCGGGGTTGTGGGAGAGACCGATGCGGTCCATGGCGGCTGTGAAGGTGAGGAATGCCGAGGTGCAGGCGTCCGGGTTGCCGACGAAAGTGACGTCGTCAGCGTATGCGAGGCAAAGGACCTCGGGGTGGGCCGCGGCGGTTGCCTGGAGGGCTGGGTGGATGGCTGCTGCGAAGAGGAGGGGGCCCATGGGATCCCCTTGGCGAACTCCCCGTGCGCTGAGTAGGGGCGGGCTATCAAACTCAGCGTCGAGATAGAGCAGAGACGGCGCGCCATACGAGAATTGGATAAATGGGAGGAGCGGGCGGAGGGGCGAGGCGTTGATTGCGTGGATGATTGCCCCACGGTCAACGCTATTAAAGGCGTTCGAGAGGTCGACTTGTAGGATGAGTGAGCCCGGGCGCGCAGAGGTAAAGCCCCTGGTGGCGTGGATGATTGTTTCCCCGCCGCTCCTGATGGCTACCCCGTATTGGTGTGGTAGGAAGTAGTCTTGCACGGATTGCGTGGAGGAGATTAGCGCGGCTTTTGCCGCCAGTCGATGGAGACACTCCCCTATTGCGATGGGGCGGGTACCCCCATCTGGCTTGGTAAGGGCCAGGAGGCGTGAGGAGGTAACGAGCTGGCTGACCTCGTGCGGCAGGTTACCCGCCAGTAACCGCTGGACGAGCTTGTGGAGGTTTGTGGCGACGGTGGGGTTGGACAGCGAGGCGTCGCGAAGGTGCTCGAAGGTCATCCCCGAGGGGCCTGCCCCAACTCCATTTTCGGAGCGGGCGAGGAGCTTTGCGAACGTAGCGAAATCGACTGTCGGCGGCCTGCAGTTTTCGTCAAGCCGTGGCCAGGTGAGGCTTTCGACAAGCGGAGGGGGGTGTTTTGACTTCAGCGCGTCCAGGACCGTGGGGGTGGACTTGCTGACTGGGGTCGAAGTCAACGCGAGCAGTGCCCGTCGCAAACTGCCTCGTCGTACCAAACCCTCGGCGCGGGATATTTTCCCGAGAGTGTCAGGTACGTGGCGGGGAGGGGGTGGCAGGGTGACAGCAGAGGCAGCAGCTTGATACAGTGTGTCCCACTGGCCCGCGAGAAATTGTCGAAGTCGTCGTTCCGTCGCGGGCCAGTCAGGGCGTCGAGGCGAGGGTAGGCGAAGTGTGAGGCGCGGGAGGTAGAGTAACAGGGTCCAACCCTCGATGGAGGTTGGATGTTTGGCGAGGAAAAGGAGGGGTGTCAGGAGGGTGAGCGCGAAAAGTTGACGGATTTGGGGGGGTAACCGGCGGGAGAGAGGGGGTTGGCGACTGTCGCAGAGAACTGCGACGTCCCACGTGGCGATGACGGCGAATCTGGAGGGGTCATTCGCCAGTTCTTCCGGGGACAACTGCTGGGCTGCCTGGGGGTGGGTGTCCAGCGGTGCCCGAGTATTGTGCAAACGGCTGGACCCTCGTCCCCTAGATCTTGGAGATGGGTCAGTCTCTCGTCCTCCAGCGCGCCTGTTTGCTTCGACGTGTTCCTCCTCACTGGAGGTCTCAGTCGTGGGGTCTCCCTGGTTCCCTGGTATATAAGTTCCGTCCGCCCGTTCCTCCTCATCAGTCGTTCGTTGCAGTTCCGAGGCACTTAAAGCCCTGTTCGCTGCCTGCTGGAATCCGTTCAGCGGTCCTCCGTCGGAGGACAGATTGCCACGCCTTGCCGCCCCGCGACCGCGCCCTCCGGCCGTCAGTGTGTTGAGTCTTCCGCGTCCGCCTCCGTGGTTTCCTCTCGGTGCGGCCCTGGTCGTCGTTCGGCTTTCGTGCCGAGTCGTGGGGGGTGCCGAGTGCGGTGCGCCTCCTCGGGATGGAGCGACCAGCGCGGGAGCGTTCTGCCGATTTGGAGAGTACTGGGGACAGCGAGTCCCCCCAAGGTCGGGCGAGTCCTCCGGCGTCGTCGAACCGGGATTGGGAGCGCGGGCTCCTCGTCCCCTCGGCGGCCCGCCAACAGACTCCTGAGCGGATGCGGGGGCAGTCGCGGGGCAGGACTGCCGCGCCCCCGAGACACGAGGAGAAATCCCCTGAGCGCGCCGTGGAAATTGGACGTGAACCAGTGGCGCGTGGCGAGGTGCAGCATCCCTCTCGCCGAGGAACGCCTCAGCGCCGCCCACAGGCGGGGCCAGGGCAGCAGCGCCGGACTCCGCAGGCGCCGCGCGGGCGTTCGGGCCAGCGCGCCGGCTGGAGGGCTGGCGGGGGGAGTAACCGTGGGTCCGCAGCGGAGAGGCGCCTAGGGCGGGCCGCGGCGACTCTCGAAGGCTTGTTCCGCAGTGTCGCCCAACCCCAGCAGGCTCTGGCGTATTCTCCGCAGCTTCTGGCGCCCCAGCAGTACCAGCAGGCGCACTTGCCTCCCGTGCGTTTACCCCTTCCTCAGGCACCGGCGCCGGCATTCCCTCCCCGCAGTGTGACATCTCTCCCGCTCCTTGACAGCCAGCACCTCTTGGCGTCCCTTCCCTCCGCACCTCCTCCGCCAGTCCTCCCCTCGGCCGGTCCCTTCGATCCGCGTCGGTTGGACGTGCGGTCCGCGGAGATACTGCCGCCCTGGCAGCCGACGCCCCCGGATGTGTCGGTGGTGGGAAGGTCCCGTGGCCCACCGCCGTTGGTGGCACCAGCATCGTTCGGCGAGCGGGCGACAGCGCCCTTTGTCCCCCCCCGCCGTTCGCTGGCGTCACCGACTGGAGTTGAGGGGGGGGCAGAAGCAGCGGAGATGGGGGGAGCGGAGTCCACGGGCGAGGACTCGCCTCCTGGGGACCAGGGGCGGCGTCGCTCGGGTGGGCTGCGGATGCCGCAGAGGGCGCAGCTGGAGCGCCTGCGGGGGAGGGAGCGGCTGGCGGAGACTGCGATCCCAATCGCCCCGCTTCGTCGGCTCTGGCACGCGCAGAGGGCGATGGGGTATGCTGTGGAGATGCTGACGGACTCACACTCCGTTCTACGGAGCTCAGTGAGCCCGTGCAAGATGCCTCACGATCCGCTCCATCGCTGCGCGATGGCTGCAGCGGATCTGGCGGTCGTGTCCACGCGAGTGCAGCCTGCGCCCGCCTCGGGAACCGTGTTGGACCCGCGCCTGCTCGCCGTGATGCGGACAGTATCGGCGAGCGTAGACTCGGCTGCAGCTGTAGACATCGTTGGCGGTGCCGTGTCAGCGCTGATGCTCCTGGGGGACTATGTGAGGGCCCTGCTTGAGGAGGCTGGAGCGGACGAAGCCGCATGATGGGCTGCCGTCGTGTGTAGGTTCTGGTTGGTGAAGTGCGCTCCAGCGTGAGCGCTCTGGTAAGCTCTGTCAGGCTCTCCATGCTTGTTTGCCGAGTGTAGTGTTGGCGGGTTGTAGACCCCGGATGTGTGTATTTGATGTTGTCGTAGTTGACTTTGAAGCCTTGTGTCCGTGCCGCCCCTCACGCGCGGCCGAAGGCCGCCGACGCGAGCCGCCACCAAGGGTTGGAGAAAAGAAAGAACTGAAAACTAAACAGGAAGAATGAGGGAGGGAGAGAGCTTATATAGCTGGAGAGGGACTCATGCTCTCTCTCTCTCTCTCGCTCTCTCTCTCCTCTCTCTCGCCACCAAGGGTTGGAGAAAAGAAAGAACTGAAAACTAAACAGGAAGAATGAGGGAGGGAGAGAGCTTATATAGCTGGAGAGGGACTCATGCTCTCTCTCTCTCTCTCTCGCTCTCTCTCTCCTCTCTCTCGCCACCAAGGGTTGGAGAAAAGAAAGAACTGAAAACTAAAAAGGAAGAATGAGGGAGGGAGAGAGCTTATATAGCTGGAGAGGGACTCATGCTCTCTCTCTATCTCTCTCTCTCTCTCTTTCCCAACCCGTCTCCCCCACTTTCCATTCCCTCCCCACTTTCCCTTCCCTCCCCACTTTCCCTTCCCTCCCCACTTTCCCTTCCCTCCCCACTTTCCCTTCTCTCCCCTGCTTTCCCTTCTCTCCCCCCCCACTTTCCCTTCTCTCCCCCACTTTCCCTTCTCTCCCCCACTTTCCCTTCTCTCCCCCACTTTCCCTTCTCTCCCCCACTTTCCCTTCTCTCCCCCACTTTCCCTTCTCTCCCCCACTTTCCCTTCTCCCCCCCACTTTCCCTTCTCCCCCCCACTTGCCCTTCCCCACTTGCCCTTCCTCTCCCCCTCCCAGTTCCCCCTGCCTTCCGCTCGTCTGATCGCGGCATTCGTCGGCGCATCCTTTCAGCCCAATCAGCAGCTGCCACGTGTCCCCCTGCAGCGAGGCCAGAGGCGGTTGTGGTGGTGTTCGGGCGGGGCGTGAGGGATAGTGTGGGGGCGATGGTGGAAAGAGATATGGGGGGGGAGAGAGTAGTGGGTGGGAGAGAGTTGGTGAGGGAGAGTTGGGTGAATGGTCCAGGGGGAGTGAGACTGGGGGGGTTGGTGGATGGGGAGGTGGGAGGTGAGAGTGTGGGGAGGGTGGCGGAAGAAAGTATGGGGGAAGGAGAAGGAGTGATGCACGCGGAAGGACGGTCAACAGCAATGGAGTCAAAAGCAATGGATCCGGATCGAATGGAGGAAGAGGAAAGGGAGGAGGGAGCGGCGGGTTGGGCGAAGGGAGGGGGTGCGATGGTTGGAGATGAACAGGGGTGTGTGGAGGGGGTAGGGGAGGATGAGATGGCAGACAGTTGGGCAGAAACAGAGGAAGAAGAGGAATATGAGGATGAAGATGACTTTCGTGTGCTGGCAGATTCAGAGGGGCAAAGGAGATGGTGGGAAAGAAGGGGAGGAGGAGGAGGGGGAGAAGAATGGGTGGGGAGTGTGAGCATGCAGTGTGATGGGGGTACTGAGATTCCAAATGGTGCTGAGATGTCGTTTGGTGCTGACGTGGCACGTGGTGTGTGGTTCCGTATCTCCACGCGTGCGCTTCCTGCACACGTGGTAAAGCTACTTGGCTGTGCGCACACTCAGCCTAGTGGAGTAGCTCCACATGCACAGTCGCCTAGTGAAACACCAGAGGAAACACCTGAGAAGACACCTGAGAAGACGCCTGGAGAAACACCTGAAGAAATGCCTGATGGAAGAAAGCTCTGTCCAAGATCAGAATGGAGTGAGGGGAGAGCGATGAAGCTGGATGTGAGAGCTGATGTGATTAAATTGGAGGCAACAGAAGTGATTCACTCTAATGAGGCAGCTGCTGGGGTGATTAACCTGGATGTGACAGCAGCGGTGGCTCTGGTCTCAGAGTTGACCCACGGGGGCGCACAGAGGATCGCAGGCTCGGCAGAACCGGAGCTGAGGGCGAGGTTCGGAAACACATGGCAGTTCATGAGAGAGCAGGTGGGTTAGCAGAGAGCACCAAGCAGAGAACAGGTGGAGACGTTTCGCATCCACCATCTCTCTGTTCATTTCTTTCATCTCTTCACCCATGCAGAGCAGAGAGACACATGCATGATCATGTGCCCCTCTCTACACACTCTGTACCACGCCCATGCCCTTGTGCCTCACACCTCCCCACACGGGTACGAGCCGTGTGTCTCTCCCGCCCTTGTGTTGCCCGTCTGCCACCTGCCAGGCACAATCTGAGCTGGCCCACCCTCAGCTTCAGGTGCTGCAGGGGGTGCTTCACAACAAGGATGTGATCATGTGCCAAACTGCTTATAACGAGTACACCTCTATCGTGGACGTCATTGCTGGACCCAGGGAAAAGCAGAGGGCTGCTGCTCTGTTGACCTCTTGTGTCAGGTATGTACTTGTTTTTTTGCAATATATCATGGCTAATTTACCTCCTATTCTTAATGTGCTTTCTTAATATCACCGTTTCTTTCTTACGTTTTGGCTACTCAGCATAACTGCTGCATCTAATCCCATCGCATACTACCTTTCCCTTCCAGTTGCATCCCCTCCCCATCAAATCCCATCTCACGCTCTTTCCTGCGTTCCTGCTTGTCCCCCCGTTCGGCAGATCTTAGCCCGTGGTTCCCTTGGTTAACCATGCTTGACGCACCATCACCCAATCTCATTCCTTCCTGTCATCTATGCTTGCCCACATTGCATCCCAGTTTGACTTGCTGTTAGGCCTCAGTTTCCTACTTCCCAAATGTACCAATATTAAACTTCTCTAATATCCAATTATCCAGCTTGCCTTATCTCATCTTATCCCGCTGACAGAGTGGTGCCAGATCAGCCTTCCTCTCGTCTGCTCTCTCTGCCTACCACTGCGCGAATCAAGCAGCGCCACATCATCATCTTTGGGACCTCTGACAGTTGGGGGTGCGCAACACTTTCTGCCAGCACGGCATTTGTCCGGGCAGCACGACACGCTGGCGCACTAGTGAGAGTGGTGGAGCATCGCCCGTCTGCATTGATGGGGGAGTGAATGGACGTCTGGATTGGATTCCGAACAAGGCGAATATCAGTGGCTTGTGATTCTATCCTACCAAATGTCACCCCACTCCTAGCAATTCCACTGTGAAGCCACTGCCGTGTCAATCGCCATGTAGACACGTGCCGATTAAATCCGTCGTTTTCCTCGTTACAGGCTGTTCTACATGCTTTAGGAGGGTTCCAGAAGTACTTACATGCCCCTTACCCTCATGGTATTCTTGGAAGCACACTCAATATCTTGTGTGGTGCTTTTGGAACATATGTTGGAGGTTCAAGAAGTGTATTAGGCCTCCTGACTGTACCACCGAATTTCACCGGGTCGACGGTGTGCATGTCTTCTATCGAAGACCAAACCTCTCACCTCCTATACCTTCTGGTGCACGAACCTCTACCCCAAATGAGGAAGCCAATCGGAACTCTGAACAGATTGCCCCGTGTGCTCCGGGAGCACTGTTTGCCTGTGTACAACCAGCTGGCACACCTCTCCCAAGCAAAAACCAAACCAGTTGCCGCAGCCTAGTCACCGCCAGGGTGATTTCTCGATTTCGGTTTGGCGGCAGTGGCGGCAGCATGTCCCGCCTATGCCCGCCCCAATCATGACACGTCCGTCCATCCACATCCGCTCTGCGCGGTTCGATTCCCCCGTCCGCGTCGCTTTCTGCCCATTTCAAATCCTCTCAGCTCAGCCCGCGTCGCGATACTGCTTGGTGCCGTGCATGCGTCCCTTTCGCCTGTTTTGCTTCATTCTGTCTTGCACTATTCGCGCCTATTCCTCTCGACAACTAGCCACTACTGCAGTCCTGCAATACTTGCAGCATTTAGACCGCGCTCTGAACCATGACTGACGGTGGAGCTATTGCGTCACCGCTATGACCATGTTGGTCTGCTCAAGCACCTACATACCACCGATGCCCTTTTTTCATTCGGTTCTAGTAAACAGACCGCCGACGTCACCAATACTCCCGCTTGCGTGACGTTCACGTAGGTACTCATAGTCGACGGAAAGTAGGTAAGCATTTCATAGGCTTGGCATCACTCCGAAGCGTTAGGTGCATCACTTAGAAGCGTATGTGTATCACTACGTGTGTCGTTCCCTCTTCCAGCTTGTCTGCCGTGACCTTGATAATGCGGCACTGATCGCGCACTAGCTTCCTCGCATATCCCTCCCCTAGGCTTTTCAAACGACGGCATAATAATAATGACTGGTATATTATTTTCCCCGCCAAAGGCGGCACCGGCGACGATGTCAACTCCTTGCTGTCCCACCACCCCGGCCACTAGCGGCGGATTAATCACGAACCGCTACCGCCGCATCCGTCTCATCGGCCGCGGCTCGCAGGGGAACGTGTGGGAGTGCGAAGACGTAATTACCTCCCTCCGAGTCGCGTGCAAGAGCTTTCCCCACGCGGGCGAGTCTGCTTTCGACGCGCGCCTCGGCATCTGCGCCGAGCTTTGCGGTCTAAAGATGGTGTCAGGTCATCCTAACATAGTACGGCTCGTCGAGTTCGCGGTAGATTCCTCCGAGGTTCACATAATTATGGAGCTCGCGCCGGGCGGAGATGATCTACTCTCGGAGGTCATGCGACGCGGTCCGCTCGCCGAACCGCTCGCCGCTAACGTTTTCCGTCAACTGGCGTCGGCCGTCGCGTTCTGCCACGCGTGCGGCGTGATGCATCGAGACGTGAAGCCGGATAACGTGCTGCTCGTGCGAGTCAACGGCTATTCTCTGCACCAGCGCCCGCCGCCCGGGCCGCCGCCGCTAACGCTTCCGTCGCGTGACAGCGGCAACCTCCGCAACGCGCTCCTGGCGCAAGCCGCAGTACAGCGTCCGCCGTCCCCGCCATCCCCGCCGCCGCCACTGACGCTTCCATCAGCGCCTTACCCTGCCAGTATCGCTTCTAGCAGCTGCTTCGATAAGAGCACAGTAGTATCAACAGGGGTAGGCAGGACTGGAATAGATACAGCGGTTTGTTGTAGTCAAGAAAGTTCTAACGGGGGCGACCGTGTAGTGAATCACGAACCGCTTAGTAAGAGAGACGAATGTGGCAACAGCACCATCACCAGCAACAGCACCGACAGCGGCAATGGCAGCAACAGCAGCAGCAGCAGCAGCGATATTCAGACGCCTGCTAGGCGAAACATCAAAAGCATTTTCTCCAGGAGCTTCCCTGCTTCCCCCGACGCACGCACGTCGCTCACGCTCCTTCCCGCCAACCTCTCCGATCCCCCCCGTAACCCAGCCTCCTCCTCCCCGATGAACTTTCCCTCCTACTCCGCCTCTGCTTCCGCTCCCCATTCCGCCCCGCTAACCCCCGCTTCTCCGGTTTCCCCGGTTTCCCCCGACCGCGGAATCGTTGGGGTGAAACTAGCCGATTTCGGCGCGTCGATTGTAGTTAAAGGTGGGTTATCGGGACGGTTGAAGGACCGTGGCGCTGGTACGAGGGGATATAAGGCGCCGGAAATGGGCGGGAAACGGGGGTACGATATGAAGGCTGACGTGTACAGCATGGGGGTCACGCTATGTGCGATGCTGACGGGGCACATTCCTGACACGCCATTGGTCGACTTCTGCTCGCCCATCTGGAAGGGCGTCTCCGCCGATGCGAGGGATCTCGTCCGTCGGATGCTGGAGGACGACCCGGATCTACGGCTGAGCTCGTTCGAGGTGCTTGAGCACCGGTGGCTGAATAGAAGCGAGGTCAGGAACCTGGACATGGCGACGCGGTGCCCCTCGCTATTAGCATCGCTGTTACCATCACCTTCGCCGTTATCCTCCCCCTTCCCTGGGGCAGTGGCAGTAGCAACAGCCGCCGCAACAGCAGCAGCAGAAGAAGCAGCGTCCTCTAGATGGGTGCCACGTGGCAGCTCGTCGTTTTCATCTATTTCTGCTGGCACAGTTGGTCTGTCAGCGCGTCACAGGGGCATCTCTGTAACCGCAAGCTGCGCTTCAATAAGCTGCGCCTGAACTCTACCGTACTTGAGAGATAATCATATATTTGCTGGATGGGATTAGCTCCAAGTTTGAATCTGCCTCTATCGGATCAGATGCCCCCTTTGTCAAACATATCTAAGTATGTTAGTATAGACAATATGGGTTTGTGTTGTAGAGGGTACAACACTCTAGGATATATATCCATGTACTCTCTCTTTCTAGTCATTATTCAGCGCTAAGATGGTATCAGCAGTAGGTAGGTCCCGCTGCCCACCCACGCTTCCGCACTCAGTCCTAGCCGCCCACTCCCCTGTACGCGCCCCTCCTAGCCGCCCCCCCCCCCCCCCCTCGCACCCGACCTAGCTGGCCCCGCGCCCGCCCTAGCCGGCTTTGGCGCCCGTCCTGCCGGACTCCCCGGGGTGATGCAGCAGAATGGGGTCGCTGAGCGACGCATTGGTTTGGTGATGGAGGTGGCTCGTACCTCCATGATCCATGCCGGTGCACCCCATTTTCTATGGCCGTTCGCAGTTCGCTACGCCGCTCACCAGCTTAACCTGTGGCCGCACCCTTACCAGCCGCGGGTCTCGCCGACCCTTCTCTAGACCGGGTCTCCTGTAGACACGCATGCGTTCCACGTCTGGGGCTGCCTTGCTCACGTTCGTGCCTCTCGCACGGACAAGCTCACTGCCCGCACCCTCCCTTGTGTCTTCCTCGGTTTCCCCCTTGATGCGTCCGACTGGCACTTCTACCACCCGCCGTCTCATCGGTTCTTTCACTCTCGTGGCGTCACCTTTGACGAGTCCGTCTCCTTCTACCGCCGCATCCCCCACAGATGTTATGAATTAATCAGAGTAATACCAGGTAGTGTAATAAAGGAGTCGTGATTCAAGAGTCGTCAATACAAAAGAGGGCCTATGCATTTATAGGCACAACAGGGCTAGCCGAGAACCTTGCAAACAGGTTGGGGCGACTGGTTCGCAAATGGTTCGGGACCGAGGAAAAAGGCCGGGCCTGGTCTTCCGAGGGTCGAGGGCGTATGCGCTGTAGTTGAGCCCAGTAAGGGAAAGGAATTTTCCTTACACTACCCCCCCTTCCGAGATGAGACTACCCACATCCGGGACACGTCGCCGGTGTAAATAGTCCCTGACAACCTTGTGTTCACCGAGCATAGCTGTGGGGACCCATAGGTCGTCATCAGTCGTGCGATCGACCCATCGTACAAGGAAATCAACGGCTGCTGTGTCGCGAGAACCTCGTACGCGATGAGCGAGAATTTTCGACGGCTCGATCGTCGGGTCGGGTACTGGGTTGACCGTAGGATTGATATGTTGACGGTCGAGATCAGTTGTATTCGGGACGAACTGTCACAGGAGACTGACGTGGAATGAATCGTGGATCCGCCAGTCACTCGGTAGTTGCAGTTGGGCGGTGACGGGTGTCACCCTACGGATGATGCGGAATGGGCCGCAGAATCATGGTCGTAGTTTATTTGGGAGGGGAATCCCCAAATTTCGAGTGTCGAGTAGGACCAATTGCCCAGGAGCAAGGGTTAAGTCACGGCGTCGTCGGTCAGCTTGCTGCTTAGCCCGTTGGTTGGTTTTGAGTATGGCGTCGGCGGCTTTTTGCTGAGACTGTCGTAGATTGTCGACGAACTGCTGCGACCTTGGTGCCGGATTTTCTATCGGTGGCGATAGCGGGGTTGTCGGATCTATCCCCTAATTTAGGAAAAACGGGGACTGAGTAGTCGTGGCTGATGGGGCGTTGTTGTACGCAAACTCGATCAGTGGAAGAGAATCTTCCCACTGGGCCAGGTCTGTGCACGTTGTACGAATCAGCCGCTCCATCGTCTGATTGGTGAGCTCACTCTGGCCGTCCGATTGCGGGTGGTATGCCGTGGACAGATGCAGGCGTGTGCCGTACTGCTGCCAGGTTTTTGTCCAGAAATTGGACGTGAACCGAGGGTCGCGGTCGCTGATGATTGCCGAAGGGGTGCCGTGTAGCCGCACGATGTTCGTGAGGAACAGCTTCGCTGTCTGCTCGGCAATGGTTGTCGTATTGCAGGCGGCGAAGTGTGCCATTTTGGTCAAACGGTCAACGACGACGAGAATCGCGTCATTACCGCTTGGGCCAGCTGGCAGGCCAGTGACGAAATCCATCGTCACTTGTTGCCAGGGTCGGCTGGGTGGCTCGAGCGGCTGCAGTTATCCCGCTGGTCGAAGTCGTGACGACTTCATGCGTTGGCACGTGGCGCAGGAGGTGACGTACTGTTGCACGTCCGTCGGCAAGTCGGGCCAGTAATAATTACGGCTCAGTAATTTGGCAGTTTTGTCGATGCCGTAGTGACCCGAGAAATTCGAGTCGTGTGCCTCCTGTATCAGTAGCTCGCGTAGGGTACGGTAAGCGAGAACCCAAATCCGATTGGTACCGGATTTTAGGTAATAAGCCCCCTGCTTGACTGTCAGTTGGGGATGACTGTTAGTCGTGAAGAATGGGTCGGTACTGTATCCGTGGGTAAATAGGCCAGTTAGCAGCGGATTGGTTTGGGTGATTAGGACAGCGGCGGTATGGACTAAAGGGCGGGTCAGTGCGTTGGCGATGTTGCTGGCCCCTCGTTGTAGGTAACTCTGTAGTGGAAATTCGACTCGAGATAATCGAGCCAGCGAATCTGTCGTGGGTTGAGTGTCGGTTGGGCGCGGATGAACTGTAGCGATTTGTGGTCTGTTCGGACTGTCACGTCAGCACCCGTCAGGTAGCAGCGCCAAACTTTGAACGCGTGAACGATGGCGAATAACTCCTTGTCGTGAACAAGATAATTTCGCTCGGCCAGGTTCAGCTTTCGTGACTCGTAGGCGATGGGTTGAAGGCCTTTGCCGAAGTCCTGTAACAGTACTGCGCCAACAGCCCGGTCGCTAGCGTCGGTGATGAGTTCGAACGGACGGTGAGGATCTGCAATGCGAAGAACCGGAGGTGTTGTCAGGAAAAGTTTGAGTTGGTCGAACGCAGCCTGCTGCTCTCCCCCCCACTCATAAAACTTGCCTTTCTTCAGAAGATCCGTGAGAGGGGAAGTTACCCCCGCCATGTTCGGGATGAACCGGCGAACGTAATTCACAAACCCCAGGAAACTTTGAAGTTTGCAGAAATTAGCCGGCGGCTTCCAGTCTTGGATGGTCGCGATTTTTTTCGGGTCGATTTTAACACCGTCGATGGAGATCACGTGGCCCAAAAACTCCAGATCTTGTTTCAGAAACTCGCACTTAGAACCCTTGGTGATGAGTCGATGCTGCTGCAGAAGAGAGAAGACTGCTGCCAAATCCTTCAAATGCTGTTCCCGGGTAATGCTGTAGATCAGGATGTCGTCGAGGTACACAATGACGCATTTATCCAGCAGTGGCCGAAAAACTTCGTTCATGGTTAACTGGAATGTCGAAGGCGAGTTGGTTAAGCCAAAAGGCATGACCGTGTACTCGTAACTTCCGTATCGGGTTCGGAACGCCGTCTTGTAGCAGTCAGCTTCGTTGACACGGATCTGGTGGTAACCGCCTCGCAGGTCAATTTTCGAAAAGAACTTTGGCCCACGAAGTTGGTCGATGAGTTCGTCGGCGCGCGGAATAGGATAGCGAGACTTGATGGTAACCCGGTTCAAGGCGTGGTAGTCGATGCACATCCGTAGACCGCCATCTTTTTTCGGGGTGAACAGGATCGGAGCTGCGAACGGTAAAGTACTGGGGCGAACGAAACCTTTCTCGAGCAGGTAATCCAGCTGGCGTCGAAGTTCCTCCAGCTCTGGTTGAGTCAGCCGCCACTGTGTCCGAACCGTCGGTTGTGCGCCGGGCTCCAATTGGATGGTATGGTCGTGGTCTCGCTCTGGTGGCAATCCTGGCGGTAGGTCGTCCGGAAAGATGTCGGCGTGCTTGCGAATCAAGGTCGCCAAGTCGTCGGAGACTGCCGCGCAGAGTTTGTCGATGTCGGCTGGTGCGTCGACGACCGTGGATGCGATCCATCGAACGGCATACAGCTGCGCCCCGCGAATCATCACTCGCTTGATGGTAACCGCGCTGACTGTCGCAGAATCTGGGCTGTTCCACTTCGGAAGTCGTCGCCACTCGCCACTCCATTTGATGCGACAGTCACCTGTCCGCCAATCGATGCTCGGGTTGTACTCGCGCAGCCAATCACGTCCCAGCAGCATGCCGCAGCCGTCCAACGTTGTCGCCAGCATCTTCGTCGTAAAGCTGAAATTTTCGCCGCATGTAACTTGCACGTGAGGTACTCGCTCCCGAATTGAGAGGGGTGTGCCATCGACCAGTCGCGCGTTGATTTCGGGCAGGCACCGCTCCACTTGCAATCGCAACTTCTTCGCTTTTGTCATATCCATTAAACTGTGGCTTGCCCCGCCATCAACAAATATTTTTATGCGGGTATCACCAACTCTCCCTTCAACCAGCACAGGGTGATCAACCGGTTCACCCCCCTTATTCAGCCAGGAATGGTCCATAGCCCAAATCGGCACTATAACCTGGTGGGGGTGGTGGCGTTTGGGCGACGCAGTCAAGTCAGTAGGTGGCCCATCTGCTATTGACGATCTCCATTTCCCGACTGCTTCTTGTCGTTAGGTAAGTTCTTCTTCAGCTGCGGGCAGTCCCTCACCATGTGACCCAGCTGGTTGCAGTGGAAGCAGGTCCCCGAAAATACTCAGGCTGCTAACACGTCCACGTCATTGATTGATGTGTGTTGGGGCTGGCCTCGAAAGCGATTTCCCTCCCGGAAACCCGCTCTCGCGAGTCCACGTCGCGTGTCCAGCGCATCCGCGATGCGAACAATTTCGTTGAAGGTCGTCGGGGCTCGCAGGATGATTTCTTGTTGGATCTCTGGTTTGATTCCGCCCATGTAGCCGCCCTGGCTTGCAACTCGTCAAACTCCTCCTGAGTCACGTTCCTAACACTACGACGGGCAGAGGTTTCCGGCGTGCTAGTCATGCTGGAAATTTTACCTAACAGATCTGAGGGTGCACACGCTTTTAGTTGGAGGAGCTTTAACGAGCTTGCCTACCAACCGCTAGCCAACCCCCTATTCTGTCGGGTCCTCTCCCGATATAAACGGACTACTCTACGGAAGACTAAGCGGGCAGGAACGGGGCTCTGATACCAGCTGTTATGAATTAATCAGAGTAATACCAGGTAGTGTAATAAAGGAGTCGTGATTCAAGAGTCGTCAATACAAAAGA